GAGTCTATTGTCGATGCGCTTTCAGGCCTGAAATGGAGTGAATCATTCGACTTTTGATGAGGTAAAATGAAGATGGAAGTAAATTGAAACAAATGTTGATCCAAAAAAGAAGCGAAAATTTTGTCCATTTTCATGTAACTTTTAGTGCTTTTTTATTGCTCGCTTTTACATTTAGTGTTCAGGAAGCTCAAACATTCTGGATAGCCTATCAACTCAATCACATGGTTGGTGAAAATTTGGGTCAGTCAACCATGAGGTTCACCCAACATTCACACATTTGTCTTCCTTTTCGCTCTTTATCAGTATAAGGTTAAGAAAGTGGGAAAACGAAGCATCATGAAATCAATTTATTCACTTGAAGAGCAAACTTGGAAGAAAAAAAAGAACTTTACTTTTGACAGTGAAAATGGACAACATGATGATGAACATGAAGTTAAAGATGATGATGATCCATGAGAGTGGTTAAGATGATGTATTAGTGTAGAGTAATGGTGTTAAGGTTAGAGGTTTATCATCAATAATCTCAATTTTACCTTTACTCATGGAATGAAAAATGAACTTGGAAACTTGAGTTGTTCACTTTTGTTTCAACTTAATTAGATTGTAAGGTTAATTTGATTGTTCACAAAGGAAAGGCAGAAAAAGGTTTCAACGAAAAAGAGTGTAAACTTATCACCTCATCATCGTTATCATCATCATCATTCTCATCTAATTGTCATGGTAAATGAAACAAAACTCAATTAGTATTAGAAGATAAAGTGAATAGAAGAGGAAAAATGCAAACAAATTTGTCTTTCAAAATAACTGAGCGACATTTTTTTCTCATTCAATATTTCAAGTCTTTGATATCAAGAAAATTGAGTGAAACGAAAAGAACAGAAATTTTGGGCGAAAAAATAGATTTCTTTTCTTTGAGGAAAAAGGTTCAACTTTATTTTTCCCCTTGAGTTATTTACGAAATTCATGTTCAATGAGTGTTTTTTATTTTCACGAGAAATCATATTTATATCGTATGTTTGAATTTATTCTGGAAAAGCCAGATTTAGTTCATCAAGTATAGTAATATTTTCAAGATTTGCGATAAGTTTGGATGTTAACCAAAAGTTTTTTTCGCGCAAAACTTTTTTTTGCTGATTATGAAATTCTTCATGTTGAATTGTATCCGATTTGAAAAAAGCACAGGACAAGAAACAAAACGACTTCAGTGTTGCAACTTTTAGACGAACACACATTTGGCAGGTTAAGAGATGCAATGTGGGAATGCCGCAAATCGTCTGAAATGAACATTTCGAAGTTGAAGTTAACTTCGATCTAAGAAAAAAAATTAGGGAGAAGAACTGCAATGGAACGAATGAATCGAAAAGTTTGAAAATGAAAATTCATCAAAACTCAAAGTCACCAATTTATTGAGAGATTCACCCTCGGAGTAATTATGAGTTTCTGAAATAACTTTTTGTTCGCTTCTGCAAACAAACCAATCTGTTTTGATACCATTCTGGGCATTTTTCCTGAAAAACTCTTTATCGAAATTTCTAGACTTTTGTCCTACAACTGCTGATTTTGTCAGACTTCAGCCCAGAAAGTAACTTATCCAGACACTGGCTAAAGTTTCGCCTATGAGCTGGTGTTTGAGGTAACTTTGTCTTCGGTCAATTCAACTATGTTATGACAACGGACAATCTCAGCTATCTTTGACTGGCTCTGCAATTCATGAGATCATACATCATTCCTTCGATTTCTGCATAAAATTTAATTCCATGATTGGATACTACCTTTGCACCTGTATTGTGCATTTAACTCGATGTTATTAAAGGCAATGGTTCGGTCAATAAAATAGGAAGCATTTCCATAAGCGACTTCGATGAAAAATGAAGCTTTCTAAGAAATTCACACAATGGAATGCATAGAAGTTTATTGAAATTCCAAGAACAGCATTTCCATTTTGTCTTTCCTTCTCATTTGAGCAGTTGCTTGCAATAGTTTTAGAAACTTCGATTTATTTCCTTGCTAGGAGAATTGAAATGGTATCGAGTTTCCGGATGCTCTGTATCTTTACAAATGCACAGCAAGCAAAAACAAAAGCTCTTTGAAATCGAAAAATGTCCAAAATTCTATTGAATCTGTTTGAAAGTCTCTGTAAACGATGCATCAAATTGTTCACTTTACTTGACAGTTTTAGTCGAAATCTCTTTTCACCTTTTCTTTTCCCAATAGTTGATTGATTAAATCTATAAATGTTTATTAATTTTTACAAAAATTTTCGAACAGAAGATAAATATTTTTCTTTGCAACAAACTGAAAGGTTGAATCAAAAAGTTGATGAAAGACATCATCATCATTCCCATCATCATGTCAACTCTGAAGATAAAAATTGCAAACTTTTTTCCCCTTCTTTTCTTTTCTGATCAGAGACTGCAACAGACGATGAAACGAGATGAAAACTCTGAAGAAACAAAAAAAAAGTTCAGTGAAGCAATGAAAGTACAGAAGAGTGAAAAAAACGAAGCAAAAACAAATTTTTAAGGTCATCAATTATGTCAAAAAGTTGGTTATCAGATAAACAGAGAGTAACAAAACTGAAGCAAAATTGAATTAGTTTTTTTATGCTCTCATCTTGTTACATCTCGAGATGCTTAACTACAGTCTAATACAAATTCAATATTATGAGATGAACAAGAAAAAAAAGTTGCTAATTAGAAGCTTACTAACCTGATATCGTTTTTCGTGCTTCTTGCGTTTTCTCACTTTTTTTACTTCTCTTCATCTTTTCTTCTTCTTCTTTCCTCTATTTTCTCATTCTCTCTCCGTTATCATCTTCATCTCTCTGTTCATCATCCATTCAGTTTTCTCTCTCTCTCTCTCTCGCTCTTTGGTGGAACAAAAAAAATCTTTTTTTTTCATCTTGTGCTTTGTTCTGCCGAACTTTAATCTTCTTCTTCTTCTCTTCCTATCTTCATCTTTTTGCTATCTTTTTTTCATTTTCATTTTTTTTCTTCTCTCTCTCTCTCTTCATCTTTTCCATGTATTTCTCTCTTTCTTTCTCTTAGTTCCGTTCAATTCTGACCTATAATGTGTTTGAGCCTTTATGAATCTGTATGTGAATGTTGTGATATTATTATTATATACACATTAAGAGGAGAAAAAAAAGTTTTTTGGTAAAAATGTTTCCTCTTCTCTGTTTTTACTTGCAACTCAGAACTTCCGAATATCATTTGAACCATTTCTCTGTGTATCTGTACCTTGAATCATCAGTTGGAATTTTCAACTAAATTTGCTCCCAAAAAAGTCAAAAGTTGAACTTTCACCGTTTAGATTTGAATCTCAGATAATCCTTCATTTTGTAGCAACAAAATGTGTCAGCTTGAAAAGTCCGGTTTAAATGCAGGAATCGTGTAAAAGTTTAGAATAATCAAGTTAGGTCAAAAAATATATAGATTGTCTCAGTTTAGAATTCACGGAAATTCCTGACAATACAGAAAATTTCATGACCCTTTGCATGAGATTGCATATTGAAAAATTATTCGTTAAAAACTAGGCAAATCTTGTTGATCTCACTCATTGAATATCGCTCTCTCCATTAAGTTTTCCCACAATTCCCAACAGCGATTTGTGATTAAATTAAAAAAGATGAGTTTTGCTCAAAACACTAACATTGTAAGTATCACTTCATAATCATTTAGTTGGTTCGTCTACTTACACTTCAACCAGTGGGAATAAGATGCACGCAATATATTAACTGATATAGAAATTGATTGACACTGATTGATAAAGGTTAAAATAATTTACATTCTGTTGAAATGAATCAAGATAAAACACTTTATTTAAGGTTCAATATGATCAACTGATATCCAAAAACAAAAATAAAATGTGCATTATAAAATCAATCTTTAGTTAAATAGTCATTGGTTAACCAATCTAACCTAGCCTAACCTAACCGATTTGCCATCACAATCCAAGATAAACTAGTTCAACTTTGATCCACGTTTGACCAAATTAGTCAGTCTTTAGATATGACTTTCGCTTCTGGACTCAGTTCTCTTGGATTTAATCAACTTTACTCATCAAAGTTACCAGTTCTGTAAACCCAGTTGTCTTTGGTTTTAACCAACCTAACCTTACCTAACCTAACACAACCTAACCAATTTTTTGTCAATACAAAATGAACTGGTTCCACTTTGAGTCAACTTTGACCAAGTTGATCAGTCTTTCGATAAGATTTTTGTTTCAAGTCTAAACTGCAAAACAAAATTCACTCAATAAACTTACGACATGACATGTTTATTAGAATCAAATCAACTTTAGTCATCAAAATTTGTCATCATTGTAAGTTAATACAGAAGGTTTGATGTTTCAATAAATGTTGTTGTCACAATACGAAATAAACCAATAATGTCTATTCAACTTGAGTCAACTTAAAAGTCGGTCTTTTATTTGTTGAATCAAGACTCGACTTGCCTAGACTTTCCCTTGACTCAAAAAATTAATCACCTTTATCTCATTAGGAGAACAAGCAACGACTTTCAAAATTTCAACAATCAACTTGATAGTTTACAATTAAATTTCTTGACAATGGAAGACAATGGAACTCAGTTTCTCCCATTTACATGTTTATCTCATTGAACCGTTTTAGCTTGTTCAAAAAAGGGAAAGTTTGAGTTGTAGGATTGTACTTGGATTGAAATGAATGTGAGGAGGAAAAAGTTCACTTTTTGTTTAAAATCTTAACATTATAATTGTTTGAGCTGAATGAATTTGAATGAAAAACAAAAAAACAAAAACAAAAGTAAAAGTTTTTTTCTCAAATAAAAGCTCAATCAAGTGAAAAAAACTTGAAAAGCCAACAACAGGTTGGTAAGTAAATTATTATTTAAATGTGAGATAATTTTTCAATTTCGGTAATTAACTCGCACCAATCAATGTTGAACTTTTTTGTTTCGCCTTACAATCTTCATTCATTGGAAAAGAAAAGAATTTTTAAACTCATGAAAAATGTTAAATTTGTATTTCACTTTAATTAAATCATATTTGTGTCAATAATTTTTTGATTATAATTATATTTTTTGTTTCAATAAAATTTATACAGCAAAAAAAGTGTTCAATAAGAGCGGGAAAGAAAAGGGTTGACAAAAAGAGGAAGAAGCAAAAAGGATTTTTGAACAGAACTTTGAACATTAGAATCGAAAGGTAAGAATTCAGAATAGTTGAGATTGTACTGTTTCTATCAACCTTTTTGTTTCACTTTTGATTCCAGCAAACGAAGAGAGAGATAGAGAGAAAAAAATTGACTTTTTCATGATGATGATAATGATGAGGATGATGAGTTTGTTTTTTGGTTTGCATCATGAAGGAAGGAAACAAAAGGAAGAGTTGAGGAACCACGAAATAATATTATTAATTGCTATTATTGACAATCAAATGAATGAAGAAACTTGAAAAGGAAAGATTGATCATCATTATCATCATTGCATTTTTTGTTACTTTACAAACTTTGCACTGTTAATTGTTTACAATTTAACTTATCATTTTCACTTTTCAAGTCAATTACATTTACAAAGGAAAGCAAAAGAAGAAAACTTTTGATTAATTGAATTATGTACAAGTGTTGGTAAGTGTAACCCCAGTTGCTGTCCTCGTCTTTGTCCTAGTTGGTTGCATGTCTAAGTGACTTTTTGGTTTCATCGTTGGGTCAATCACGAGTCAAGTTTTTGTCTTGTTTTTTGTTGCTTCGAGATTCCGGCTTTTTTTTGGTCAACAAAGTTGATAATATTCATTTGAAAAGAAATCATTTGTTGAATTGTTAAAATTGTTGTAATCATTGTTGATTGATCCACATGATGAATATTCCGGATAATAATTGGAATCGTAAAGGTTGTTAATGTTTGTGTTATTTGCATTGTAACATGTTGATTCCAGATCGCCTGAGTTTACGTCAACATTGTTATACGATGATAAATGTTGAGATTGGTTGGGAAATGAACGGTGTTGTTGTTGTTGTTGAGGAAGGTAGTGTTGCTGCTGTTGTCTTTGGGTTTGTTGATGGTGTTGATGATGGGATTGTTGGGACTGTTGATGCTGTAAATGTGAAATGTTTGATTGCTGGTGAGTTTGTGGTTGCTGTGATTGAATATGATTTAAATGATTTGGTATTTGCTGTTGTTGAAGATGATTTATGTGATGTAATGGTTGCTGTTGTTGTTGTTGAATATGGTGATGGTGATGATTGTACATGTTACCTATTGATAAACTGGATTCGGGAATGTTGTGAGTTTCGCTCTCAGTACTTGATATGTTGGTGTTTTGTACTTCAAAATAGCTACCATTTGAGGTTTCAAGATAAAAGTCGTCAAAATGAGATCCATTTGGCATGGTATTGGTTGCCCCTGTTGTCGGTGTTACCGTTGGTACCGTTGTTGGACCATTGTAAATGTGTCCTGTAGCTGTTGGTATTGATGCTGATGAGGCGGGTGAGGTTGATGCGGTTGAAAGGGATGAGACAGCTGAAGATGAGGAAGGATAATCACATTGGTAATCATAATAGCCTTTCACTGGATCACTTTCACCGGTTGGATAGTTGACATCGGATGATGAAGTGGTCGATCCAGATGAAGATGAGGTTGAAAGTGAGGAGACGGCTGATGATGAGGAAGGATAATCACATGGATAATCATAATAACCTTTCACTAGATCATTTTCACGATTCTCATATTTAATGGTATTGGAAGGTGTTGTTGTAGAGTAGGTAGAGTTGGACAGGGATGAGGAGGTTGTCGATGTGGTGCAAGTGGTGACAGTGGATGAGCTTGACAGTCCACTGGATAGGGTCGAGGGTACAGTTGAGGTTGACCGGTGAGATCCATTGAGTAGGTTGTTGGTTATCGGTGTGACTGGAGTTGTTGCCTTGCCTGTTGGCCCATACATGATTGGTGTTGAGGAAGCTGAAGATGAATGTGAAGAAGGATAATCACATGGATAATCAGAGTGATTCTGTTCCTTGTGACTGTCCAGGTCATTGAGGGAACATTTAACATCCAAAGGTGAGGTTGTTGTTGTTGCGGTTGCTGTTAATGAGGTTGCTGAGGGTGACGATGAGGATGAAAGTGTGGATACAGCTGAAGACGGGTTATCACATGAATGGTCATATTTAACTTTTCCCTCTGAATCGGGTTCCGTTTTCAGTGACAATTCAGAGGTTGTTGAAGATGACGATGAAGATGATGACGAGGATGATGAGGATGAAGAAGAGGAAGAGGAAGATGACGATGATGCCGATGAAGCACTGCCTTTCGATGGATTTTGACGTTTAGCCTTCATCCGTCTATTTTGAAACCAAACTTTAACCTGTCGTTCACTTAGTTCAAGAGTCGACGCTATCTCGATGCGTCTCGGTCGACATAGATATTTATTAAAGAGAAACTCTTTTTCCAGTTCGAGAAGTTGATTTGTTGTATAAGCTGTTCGCATTCGCCTTGCGGCTGAACTGCTCTTTTTTGATAGCATAGTCACCATGGATGAAGATGTTTTAGTTAAACACATTTAAAAGATAAATGTTGAGAGACTTGAAGAGACTACACGTTGTTGATGTTGTTGTGGATGAGGATGATGATAAGGATGAGGAGGAGGAGGATGAGTGGAAGACGGTAAGGAGCAACATGAGACTCGAGTAAAAACTGTTCAACTACTGTCTTTGGTTGGAGAATGAAGAAGAGACGGAAAAAGAGGAGAGAGAGAGAGAGATGAAGAGTAATCGAGAAGGTTGAAGACTAATAGTGAGCCATGATGATGAAACAGAGTGACAGACCGATAGGTGTCATTGAGTGACAAGAATGTTAAGTAAAAAAAGTTTTGCCCAAAAGTTGAAGTTAAACTCAGCTAAACAACAACAAACAACGCATTAGAACTACAAACCCCTTTTCTGTCTCCTCACTTTCTCTCTCTTTATCATCATCTCTTCTCTCTTTCCTCATCTTCTCTCCATCTTTCTTTCACCAACCACGTGATACACTTTTGTATCCTCCTTTTACTCCACTTTAACTCCTCCTGTTTCAGTTGAAAACTTTTTCAACAGGAAAAAAGTGAAGAAAAAACTTTTTTTTTCTTCTTTTTGCAAATCTTTTTTTTCTCTCTCTCTCTCTCTTTTCTCGCCGCTTTCTAACTTTGACAATTCTGCAAGTTCTGTTGCTCAGGATGATGACGATTGGTGGTTGTGTGCCTGTGATTAACGTTGACATGAGGATAAATGTGTGGATGGAGAAGAAAAAATACAATGAAAATGCCTTGAGAAATTAAGTTTGCGAGAAAAAATTATCTTCTCATGCTTCTTACCTTGAGTCTAATTTGGCATTGATTAACCATTGGCCAACGTAATTGGAAAACTTGAATCTCTTTTTGACCCACTTGCGGCTCTTTTTGACACATAAACTGATCAACTTTAACCTTGCCTTTAAACGCCATCTATTGGTATTCACTTACGCTTCAAACTTTCAACATTTTCTTGTCCGAAATGAGTTCAGAAAATTCATTTTTTCATCATTTTCTAAAATTGATGAACTTATTCCAAAATCTCCAACTTGATTTTCAATTATTACAGATACTTTCTATTGCTGCTTTCGGCTCTTGGATTGGCCCTCAAAGTCCAACTTTTAAGATCGAAGTGTGTTCGATCGAGAAATTTGAAGAATCGGCAAAAATAACAAGAATAACCTTTTAGCATTAGTGATTTATGAAAATTTTTGATCGAGGAAAAGATTGAGTCTGACCAATGCGCATTTCGGACTATTATTTGTCCATTGCTTTCTGTCGACCTTGTGATTGGTGACTATCTAAATGCATTTGAATCTTTAAACGAATCGATTAAAACTTTATCAAAAATTGAGTTAAAAATACATTAAATTGCATTCTAATGATCATCAGTTTCACAACATTAATTGTTGACTAATTCATCAACTTTTAGTCAACTTATCCTTGTTGGTTTTCCGCAAGAGACTTGTGATTATTCACAAATCCCGTTTGTGGTCAATTAAGCGTTTAGAATAAAAATGACCAAAAATCGTTGTACAAATGAGGAAAAAGGGACAAAAATTTTTAGGTTCCAACAACAAGGATAATGATAGCGTAAAGCAAAAAATTAAACAAAAAATATTTAGATATCTTGATGCCTTGAGCTAAATTCATTGAATTTAACAGAAGAAAACAAAAAAATGGTTTTCTTTCAAGGGAATGATGATGATGATGATAAAAATGATGATAAAGATGATAAAAGAATATGAAATAACAAAAAAAGTTTCCAAGATAACCTTTTGTGGACCTAAAAATGAAGGTAAAAATAGGATCTGAACGACAAAGACAATGATGATGATGAGCAAGAAGATTTGAAGAAAGGCGAAATAATAAAAATGATAAAAGTTTAAAGGTAAAAAAAGTTATCATTATTGTTATTATTTCAATCATTATCATTATTATTACTATTATCATTACTATTATTGCAAGTTTTTGGTAACATTAGCGTTAAAAGCTAAAGGAGCGCCCAATGATAAGAGATGTTGAAGCGTCAAGCCCGCCTGAAAGAAGAGCAAGATGATGATGATGATGATAAGGGAAGGAAGTTACAAGCTGAAAAAACAAGCATCAAAAAAACTCCTTGGTGACGCTGAGAATAATTTATTTAACTAAAGCTATGGACAATCCCAAAAAACCGGTTCTCTGGCAACATAAAACTTTTTTTTTGTCTCATCCTTTTCTCTCTCTCTCTTTTCATCATTTATCTTCACTCTCCTCTCTCTATTTGGGTCTCTCTTTGTTCTCCTTCTTCTTCCAATTCCGTAACCATTAATCGCATTTTTTCACTTTTCATCCTTTTCCACTTTCTAACTCAGTGTCAACGAATTACATCAACATTGTCTTTTCAACTTGCAGCATTCAAAAACATCGAAACGTTGAAACATTGAAACTTTTGGACGTTGGAACATCGACCTTTCAAATTCAAAAATCATGTTCTTTCAGTTGTGCCATCAAAACTATATCAAGTGACCAACATTTAAGGTGAGTTTTTGACAAATTTTCATCTTTCCTCTTTCATTTAAAAGTATCAATTCTTACAGTGAAAATGTTGCCATGTTTTCATGAGTTGACCAGCTATTCAAGATTCAATTATTGGCACTTCTTGTGACTCGTTGGGTTCAAGAAAAGGGCAGCTCTAAGCTCTTGAAGTCACTTTTTTTGTTCTCTTCTATTAATAATTCTTGTTCTGCATTTGTCATCAGCATTCCCATCTTCATCATTTAGTGAACATTAAAAATGGTTGAAAGAGAGAAGAGCGAGAAAAATGAGACAAATAGAAAGGAAAATATTTTTTCCCTTTCGAGTGTTGCGCATGTGTTTCTCTCTTAAAAGTTGACTTCTTTATCTTCATCATCATCATCATCATCATTCCCTTTCCCCTGACTTTTTGCCTCTTTCTCTTGACTCTGTCTATTTTCTGTCTGTTGTGTATCACTTAAGTAACCCAATAGTGTGTATGAACCAAGAATGTTTTTTTCCTTCATCTTCTTGAGCAGCAGGAAAAAAACGACGAACAAGAAATGCGAATTAAGATGAAGATTAAAAAATGCTTCAACAGCCATCATCATCTTCATCCTCATCATCATCTCCATGTCAGCATTTTGTGTCCCTTAAACATCATGTAACATGTTATCATATTAAAAACTCCCCTTTTCCAGAGTCGACCTTTTCCCTCTTGCAATTGTTTCAATTTTCAATCTCAACAATGAACTGATCACCGTCACCTTTAGCACCGTTCATCGTTTCATCAAATAGATTTAGTGATTTCCAAAATTCGATTCGAAAAATTTTAACCTTTTGTCCATTTTGTTTTTGACTTCGATCCTTTCAAAGGTAAGTACTTTGACTTTTCCGTTAAACATTTCATTTTTGTCAATAAATTTTGACCTCAATCCCTGGTTTGGTCAACCTTTTACTTTTCATGATTCACCAGTTATCATTCAGATAGTCTTGATGGACAACATTGTTTCTATTTTATGTCCAATTTTCAAAATTCATTTATATTCATGATAAAGAAAATATCGATTTTTCTGTTGAACCTTTTCATTTTCACTTTTTTTACCCAAAAGTCAGTTTTTTTTGTTGTTTTCTCGATCAACATTTCAATTTCAAATTTTATTCCTTCGATAAATTGAGTTGGAAATGTTGCCAAATGCACTGACCAACATTGTCAGCCATTTTAAATGTTTTAATGAAAATAATAATTATAATATTTTCCTATATTAAGGCAACTTTTTTTTATTCGTGAAACCTTCAGATCACTTCTCTGTCTTTTTCCTGCCTTCTGTCTTTATTAAGTGTCGTCAATCGCTTTTCCCATTTACATAGTTTTTGAGTTTACACAGCTATTAACTGTATAATAATAATATTTTGGTTCCTTTCATTTGCTGTTTGCTGAATCAAACAAACAGAAATGAATAAAATGAAAAAAAAACAAAACAAAACAAAATTTTAATGATAATAGTCACACTTATAAACATAACTTTTTTTATATCATTCATTTAATATCACTATTGTTTTATTGTTTTTTTTTGTTTTGCTGCCTTCTGCTTGCTATATATTATTATTTATTCAGCCTTTAATTATGTTTAATTTGCTTTTGTCTTTCAATTGCCTTTCAATGGGTAAAGTCGTTAGCGAGTTACCCTGTGAACCCGGGCTTTTGTAGACCTCTTCAGAGTCAGAAGCTCGTTTTTACAGGTTTTCTTGAAAATGATCATTTCTCGTCGGACAAGTTGTGCTTATTCACATTTTCATTTTTTTCAACATTTTTGATCAATTGTCGATATAGTCAAAGAGCATGAGTTTTATGCCATTTCCAATGGATTTGGCGCAGCTAAGAAACTTGTCATTTGATGGACAATTTTTGAGTGAAAAATCAATTGGTCAATCATACCAATAGCTAATCGTTATGGTCAAACTTAGTGTGAGGATAGTCAAAATTAAAATTAGGTTTTGATTTGATTCAAATACTGTTTTTCAATTGTTGAGTTTTGGAGGAACGGACTAAAATTCATTTTTTGATTCCAAAATCAATACTTTCTTCATCAAAATCTATCCATGTTGTGTCCTATTCAAGTTTTTGTTGAATGAAAGTTGATATTTGAAAATAGCGTTTAACGTTTTTTGAAAATAACATAAGTGAATATTTGGAATTACTATTGGGTTGTGGCGCATTTTTACCCGCTTTTATCGAATGTTGAAGGTAATAAATTATGTATTTTGGTCACATTGTGCTTAGCAGATGAAAATTTGTTTACGTTTAATTTGAAAACACTGAGAATGCGCAAAAAGAGATGGATTTTGAAGAGAGGGAAAGAGAATAGTTTTTTCTGGTTAAAATGATAAACCAAGGGGAGGCTGGAAACTATTTGCTCTGTTTTGTTCTCTTCTGACAATGGTTTTTATCGATCTGCGCCATTAGCGAGTTACCCTGTAGACCCGGGCTTTTGTAGACCCGTAAAGAGTCAGAAGCTCGTTTCTACAGGTTTCCCGATAATGTGCCTTCCATCAATGCTCATAAAGTCCGCGTTTTATCGGACAAACAGTAAGCAAAAAACAGCAAAAAAATTGCAAGACTGAGCAGAGAGCAACCATTTTTGAAATGTTGAAAATTTGAAGCAAAGTTGCCAATTGAAGTATCAAATCTTAGGTTAGGTTACGTTAGGTTAGGATAAATAATGATCCTATGATAATGGCAACAATGAAAGTTGCAAACAAGGAATGGCTTTTCAAGAAAAAAGTGAAGCTGCAAAAGCAAAAGAAGAAGGAAAAACATTCCGATCGATTGAGGCAAGAGCGCAATAGATATAGCCTGTGGATGTATATATTGAGAAGGTGAGTAAATGAGCAAGTTAT